GAGAAGTTGTTCCTTTTTTTTCGTTCACTGGGACATGGGCATCACTGACTGGCCATAATTAATTGCCCGTCCCTAATTGTCCTTGAGAAGGTGCTGGTGAGCTGCCTTCTTGAACCACCCCAATCCATGTGCTGTGGGTAGACACAAAGCCCTTGGGGATTTTGACCCAGTGACAGTGAAAGAACAGCAGTGTGTTTCCAAGTCAGGATGGTGAGTGGCTTGCAGGGGAACTTGTGGGTGATGGTGTTCCCATGTATCTGCTATCCTTGCCTTTCTAAATGGAAATGGTCATGGATTTGCAAGGCGCTGTTTGAGGATCACTGTTTAGAGTTAGATGCAGTGTACCCAATAGAAAGTACACGATGCTGCTACTGAGCATCGGTTGTGGAGGGAGTGGATGCTTGTGGATGTGTTGCCAATCAAGTGGACTACTTTATCCTGGTCAGTGTGAAGGTGCTTGAGTGTTGTTGGAACTGTACTCATCCAGGCAGGTAGGGAGTGGTCTGTCACTCTCCTAACTTGTGCCTTTTGAATGGATAGCTTCAGGGAGTCAGGAGGTGAGTTACTTGCCACTGTATTCCTAGCCTCTGACCTGCTGTTGTAGCTACTTGTTTATGTAGGTAGTCCTGTTGGGTTCCTAGTCGATGGTAACCGAAGGATGTTTGTAGTGATGGTAACATCGTCGAATGTCAAAGGGCAGTGGTTAGATTGTCGCTATTGGAAGTGGTCTAGCATTTGTATGTTACTTGCCACTTGTCAGCGCAATCGTGGATGTTGTCCAGATCTTGTTGCAGTTGTAACAGGAACCAAAATAAGAGGCCGTTGATGTAAAGTGATATACAAAAGAATCAAGGGTGATTTAAGATAACAAGGTGTAGAGCTGGATGAACACGGCAGGCCAAGCAGCATCATAGGAGCAGGAAGGCTGACATTTCGGGCCTAGACCCTTCTTCAGAAAGAACACAGTTTTTCTCATGGCGCGTAGTTACGGTATGGAATATGCTGCCTGGATATGTGGTGGAGGTAGGTTCATTTAAGGCATTCAAGAGGACATCGGTTGATTACGTGGATAGAAATGGTGAGCAGGGATATTGGGGAAAGGTAGGAGATTGGCACGAGGGAATAGAATCGGTACAGGCACAAGGGGCCGAATGGCCTCCTGTGTCATAATTCTGTTATTCAAGGGGAATGGAGTATAAAAGTAGGGAGTCCTTGCTAAACCTATACAAGTCACAAGTTAGACCACACTCCAAATACTGTGAACTGCTTTGGTCCCCTTATCTAAGGAAAGGTATACTGGGATTGGAGGCAGTCCAGAGAAGGTACACTAGACTATTCCTGAGTATGGAGAGGATAATAAGGTTGGGTCTATACTCATTGGAGTTTAGACAAATGTTTAGAATTAGTTTAGAATTTAGATTTTAATTTGTATGGTGATCCAGGGTTATGGAGAATAAAGTGGAAAAGTGGAATTGAGGTTTATCAGCTTAGCCATGACCTCTCATTAAATGGCAGAACAGATTTGATTGACCAAATAGCCTACTTATACTGCCAGGACTTGCATATGCAGTGTGGTCCCCGATTTGGAGTTATTCCTCTGAAGTAGTGAATCTTGTACTGATTGGAACATGGTTGGCGAGGTGGATCTCATTGAGTATGAGTTCCCTATTGGCCCTGGTTAACAGCCCCAATCAGAGTCCTAGCTGACAGTTATAAACAGGAGTCTCCTCACTCTAGGGATGTGCTCTGAGCTAGCTGGTCAGAGTCCATGTACTGTGCACGTGCAAATAAAGGGTGACTTAGGGAGGGGACACCAACCTTACTGGAGTTATTTTACTTGCCCTCTCTTGGAAGGTTCATGTGGAAAGATTACTTGGGATCTAACTTAAACCTGTAAGGGTCCAGAGTTACAGATAGCACCTTCCCACCCCTTTGTAATTTTCCATCTCTCTTCCAACTTAATGGTCCTCAAAGATAGGAAAATATCAGGTCTGCATTGAGCCAACAGGTTTCTTTAAAGTTTGTTGAAGGAGATAAGTGAATGAAGACATTGCTAACAGTGTGAAATCTAGTTTGAGCAGCTTTCTGAAAGCTGATCTGGAACGTGATTTGTTGTTGCTTTTTCATATGAATGCCAATCATATTGACATCCCCATCCAGTTGTTGGAACATTGAATGCTTTGGTTGTGGGATCTCTCATTTGCTTGGAGTAACAGTCGCTCTGGCTCTGACAGATTCTAAAGAAGCCTGACCCTTTCTTTGCTTTTTCTGTTTTTTCAAAGTCATCAAAATGCCTTTTAAACAAAATCCTTGCTGCTTGCCCTCTTTTCTTCCCCCCCCCTTGTTCCCTGAACTAGTCTTGAAGGATATCAAAAGAGCCTGTGTGTTCCTCCTGATGAGAAATGTGTTGGCGCTACATTAAAGAGGAAGAGTTAAATGCCATCTTTTGAAATGTTCATCGACCTTTTATTTGGGGGGGATGCTGAATGAGGGGGCAAGGTCAGTTTTCTCACCAGCTGAGATTAAGGGCAATGTTTCTTTAACAAAAGCGATGCCAAGCCGGTTTACTGGCTGAGACAAGGCTCCTTTTGTATGTTAGTGTAAACGATTGCCAAAATGAGATGGCGGAGGATGGGAGACTGACATGGGACGTGTTTCTGCTTTTGTTTTTCAATCTGCATTTGCACTGAAAAGGCAGCAGTGACTTCAGAGAGTGGAATTAAGTTCAAAAGGACTGGCTGGGGCTCAGATGGTGGTTCAGAAATTGGGCTTGGGGGGTGGTGTAATAGTTCCACTAACTCATGGGTGCTACTGCATGGTCCTAATGCTAATATTCTTAGCAGTCTCATTAATAGGAGGGTGGAAGATGAAGCTCCTTTCTTGATATTTGTTGAGGTGAGAATGGATTCTGACAAAGATTAATTGTTTTGAATTCCTGGCTAGAATCCTAAACACTAAGATAACTATTACAAAATGACAGCAGCATTTTAAGATTAAATTTTCATCTAACCAAAGCAAAATACAGCAGAAAAAGCAAAGCAGGTAGCATATGTGGAGAGAGAAACTAAGTTCATATTTCAGGTCTATAATCTTTCATCGGAACTGAAAGAAGTTAGAATTTAAATAGGTTTGAGGCAAGTATAAGAAAAATCAATAGGAAATGTTTGACCCCTGCATCTCTGGACCACAACATTTCCTAGATTTTCACAATTTAAAACAAATCTAATTTGATTTATTATGATCCAAAATAATGCCTACATTCAAATACATTTGCCAAGTCAAAGTTTCGTCCGTGTCACCGTGCAATTTTGTCTGCATTACTAACTATACTGCCAATGTGTATCATTGGTGTATTTGGACCTACTTATATTGCACATGATCTAATTTGCAAGTGTAGTTGAGTCCTGGAATAGTTCCTTGTAGGACAGGTGTTTTCTTTCCAATTTGTGTGTGTATATAAGTTCTAATCTCTACCATTCCACTGCCTAACCAACCTTCTGAGCAGGTCAATAATTTGCCTTCAATTCCATGAATTTCAATTTTACCTAACAATATCTTGGAACTGAGTGGAATGCCTTCTGGAAACCCATAAAGCTACATCAGTAGACATTTTCCTGCCTACCACTGTACAGTAATTACTTCTTTAAAAAGTTCATTGGACTCATTTATAAATTCATGTTGACCTTTTTAAATTAACTCTAATCTCTAAGTGTTCGAATACAGTGGCCTGAATTATTTTATTAAGGGGCCCACTGAGATCAGACTATCTGTTCTAAAATTTCCTGGTTTGTTCTGACAATTTTCTCAAATAGCTTTACCATATAAAGGAGAAATTCCTAAACTGATGTATCTTAGAAATAACTTTCCAAGCTTGAAGGGCGGCACGATGGTTCAGTGGTTAGCACTGCTGCCTCACACCGCCAGGAACCCAGGTTCGATTCCACCCTCGGGTGACTGTCTGTGTGGAGTTTGCACGTTTTCCCCGTGTCTTCGTGGGTTTCCTCCAGGTGCTCCAGTTTCTTTTAGTAATTACTAAACACAATAATAGTTAATAACGCAACACACGGACTAAAAATAAGAGGTCAGTCCAAAAAGATAAAATTTTAAGCACAGATGTACGGATCTGTCGCTAAATTGCTCATAAAGGGGGGAATAGTTGAATGGTGCAGCCTTTGCAATGGAAGGTACTGGTAGTGTTGATGTTGTTGGTTGTATAGTTGATCTCAAGATTCCTAGTTCTGCAGTTGGTTGAGATTCTGTTGTTCTGATTCCTTTCAACCATGACTGAATTTCAGTATTCAGGGTGAGAGTCCTTTTTATTATCCTGTTTTTCTCTGGCTATCTATTTAGCTAAATTCTAGCAGTCTGAGTGAAAGTATCTCTTTATCTTGATTTGATTTGATTTATTGTCACATGTACCTAATTACAGTGAAAAGTTTTGTTTTGCAAACAGTACAGGCAGTTCATGATAAATAAGAACATGCAGATCATTGGCTGTTTAAACAGAGTGAGACACACAAGTTTATGACTGCACAGGAGGTGCACAAAAGCAATGTCAGCATTAGATTTGAAATCTGAGAGAGGTCCATTCAGCAGTCTAATAAAAACAGGGAAGAAGCTGTTCTTGAACTTGTTGGTGCGTGTGTTCAATTTTCTCCAACACACATCACTAGGATATAGTTCTTTCAAAAAAAGTACCCAAAAGAACTGGAGATGCTGGAAATCCGAAACACAGCAGGTCTGGCAGCATCTGTGAGAGAAATCAAATTAATGTTTTGGCTCCAGGGACCCATCTTCAGATCATGACAGGTAGCTTCTATAATTCCTTGGTCCTATACTGCAAATCTCTGATTTCTTTCTCTAATGTTGTAATCATGACTTCAATCAATAAGGTACCTTATCTCCCACTTCCCACATCCTTGACAGTTGGATTACCTGAGCTAAAGCATTTCTTTGACTGAATTTACTAATCTAATGTATGCTTTATTTTGTTGCATAGTGAATGAACTGAGTGGAGGAGCCCCCTGGAAGACCGTGGCAATGACTGTCTGCATTTATGTAATCCTCAAATTCCTGCAGGGAGGTGGTGCAGGTAAGAGACTCATGTGAAGTAGATATCTGATGTTGTTAGTTGATCTTGTAAAGTTGGATAGTAGGTATGTAATCCAGTTGAAGTCAGTTCAATCCCATTACAGCAGTTGGCAAATTTGAAGTCAGTTCAAAAAATAAATCTGAAAATTAAAAAGCTGCCATTAGTAAATGCGACTACAAAACTTTCAGCTTGTTGTAAAAATTTAAGTGATTCTTTAATGTCCTTCCAGAAAGAAATTCCATTCTCGTCACCTGTCTGGCCTTTGAGAATTTAGTTTCATAGAGTCATAGAATTATACAGCATGGAAACAGACCCTTCGGTCCAACTCATCCATGCTGACCAAATATCCTAAATTAATCTAGTTCCATTTGCCAGCATTTGGCCCGTACCCGTATAAATCCTTCATGTTCAGGTACCCATCCAAATGCCTTTTAAATGTTTAATTGTACCAGCCTCCACCATTTCCTCTAGCAGCTCATTCCATACAAGCACCACCCTCTGTGTGAAAACATTGCCCCTTAGGTGCCTTTTAAATCTTTCCCCTCTCACCTTAAACCTACGCCCTCTAGTTTTGGACTGCCCTACCCTGGGAAAAAGACTGTACCTGTGCGTTTGACTTTCAACTGCCCTGGCAAGTCACTAAGTTGAAGGGAATCATTGCAAGTTCAATCAGGCTGCCTACAATTTTTCAGTTGTAGCTAAGGATGGAAACAAATGCAAGTATTACGAGTGGCATTCACTTCTTCAGAATTAATATAAAAAAGCATTCATCCAGATCAGTCTATCTGTATTGACTAACAGATTAAAATGCCCCACATAATTGAAATGGCAGCAAGCTGGTATCAGTTGGACTCCCAATGACACAGACAGGGCAGGGCGATCCTTTCTGATTACCCAAGTGTTGAACTCAGTAGGTTAATTGAGCATTTGTAGGCAGACGTGGAGCAGACATTAAGTCGACCCCTTTCTGATGTCAGTCTTCCCTTTTTGAATGTGGTGTTTGATACCAGTGTCACCCATTTGTATAACTGATTTGAAAGGATACTAATCATGTCTGAAATCAACCGTGGTTAAATGATACTAGATATTATTTTGAGTAAGGGGGATCCATGATAGTGATCTCATCTAGAAATGGACTCTTGTGATGTACAATTCAGAGCTGTCAACTTTGTATTGTAGTCAAACAACTCTTGCAGTGAAGCTAAGAAGATATGAAAGAGCTGATTGTTTCCACTCCTACCCGCCTTAATGAGGACTGTAATAATCCCACTCCCTTTCCTCTGACCTTGATGATCTGTTCCACTTTCTGATGAAAGATTTTTGTGAAGTTTGGGGAATGAAGGACAAAGCCTCTGGGAAATTTTTAATAAGAGATTTCTATCTCTATACTTCCTTTCACTACCAAAGGATAACCCAAGTGCTTTACAGCAATGAAGTTGATTTGAGGTGCATTCACCATTAGAATGTAGGAAACATATAGCAAGGTTCCTACTAACAATGTGAAATAACTGTGATCTGTCACATTGACATTAGTTAAAGAATAATAGCCCAGGGAGCAAGGAGAAACTTCAAGATAATGGGGCAGTTGCACTCTCAGTTTAGCATTTCATCCAAAGGCAGCCTCTGTTGACAGTGGAGGACTGTCTCAGTGCTAAATTATGTGCCAAGGTTTACATTTCTGATATTACACCAGCAGCTACACATCAAATTATTCCACTGGCTATAAAGTAATTTGGAATGTTTTTTGATGGTAAAGAAATATATTGCTTTAATACGTATAGCTTCCCAGTAACTTTGTTCTTTAAGGAAAAGGCAGTACCAAGTACAGAGTTTATAGATGAGTATGATTTCTCTCTGTTCAGGCACTTCGGGTTTTGTAAGCAACATGCGCTCCTTCATATGGATCAGAGTCCAGCAGTACACTAACCGTCAGGTACAGACTGGACTCTTTGCTCACCTGCATTCCCTTTCACTTCGCTGGCACCTGGGGAGGAAGACTGGAGAAGTCCTACGTAGTGTGGACCGTGGCACCAGCAGCATCAACTCCTTGCTGAGGTACTTGTGATAATAAGAGCAGCAATTTTTTTAAACACATTTGATGGATTTTGCTTGCTTAGTTCCATTTTAAATTTTCCCCTGTGGATAATTTTAATCTGTCCTTCAGTTATTACAATGACACTCCCTAAATCTAGTATGACATTCCAGTGCAGTGAAGAAAAAAAATACATCTTTTACAATTTCAGAATGCTCCATAGCATTTTCCAGTTGATGGCATACTTCATTGCAAAATAGGAATCAGTTATGCAAGCAAGTTCCCATAAACAACAATGTGATATTGACTTGATGGTCTGTTTTTAAGAATTAGCTGAGGGATGAATATTTGCCTGGGCTGTAGGAAGAACTCATCTGGTCTTCTTTGATATTATGCCATGGGATCTTGCATGTACTCCTAAGCAGGAAGAGAGGGCCAAAAACAGAAGTTACTAGAAAAGCTCAGCAGGTCTGGCAGCATCTGTGAAGAAAAATCAGAGTTAACGTTTCGAGTTCAGTGACCTTCCCTCAGAACTCTAGATCACTGGACTTGAAACGTTAACTCTGACTTTTCTTCACAAATGCTGCCAGACCTGCTGAGCTTTTCCAACACTTTCTGTTTTTGTTCCTGATTTACAGTATCTGCAGTTCTTTTGGTTTTTATTAAGGAAGACAGAGCCTTGGTTTTATGTCTCATCCAAAAGACAGTGTCTCTAGAAATGTAGCTCTTCCTCAGTACCATACTCTCAGCAGGTGTGTGTGCACGCCATGGCATCAGAAGAGCCATCGCTTGGATGAAAGCTTAAGCTTAAATTGGTTACAGCACTAATAAAAGACAAATAGGCCCTCCATGCCGTACTGACTCTCTGCAGGGCAGTTTAGCCAGTGATATTCACTTTCCAATTTCCTATAGCTTTGCAAGTTTCTTTTTCTTTCTAACAACTTGCTGCTCACAAAAACCTTTTTTCCTGAAGATACTCTTTTTTTTTATTATATTTCCTACCAATCCTTTTTAAATACCTGTCTCCTGGTTCTTGGCCCAAACACCAACGCGAATTGTTTCTTTCTGTGTGGGCCCCTCATGATTTTGAACATTTGTATCAATGAATTATTCATTCTCCTGAAAGGAGAACAAATGCAGTTTCTGCAATCTAATTCATGTCTTCTAGTGTCTGGAACCATTCTTGTCAATTTTTTTGCATCCTGTCTAAATCCTTCACATCCAAAAGTATGATGCCTAGAATTGGGCACCACACCAGTTGAAGCCAAACCAGCGTGTTACAAACTGACCTTTTATTTTTTAAAAATCACTCATGGGACATGAAATTACATGACACCAGGTTATAGTCCAACAGCTTTATTTGAAAACACAAGCTTTCGGAGCTTCACTTCTTCTTCAGGTGGAGCATGGCTTTATTTGTGTTTTCAAATAAAGCTGTTGGACTATAACCTGGTGTCGTGTGATTTCTGACCTTGTCCACCTCACTGTAACACCGGCACCTCCTCATCAAGGGACATGAGCATCGCTGGCTGGCCAGCATTTATTACCTGTCCCTATTGTATTTTGAGCCTCTAAAAATAAAAACCCAGAATCTTGTGTACCTGTTTGACCACTTTCTCAACATTCCCTGTTACCTTCAACAAAGTGTGCGCATATACCACACATCCCTCTCTTCCTGCACCCCCTTCAGAATTGCACTTTAGTTTAGTTAGGATTGTCATAGAGACATTTTTCTTTTTCAAGAAATTTCAAGCTTTCAGTTCTTGGCTGAAAGAATGACACATTATAATTTCACATTATATAAAAAAAACTGTAACAAGTTCCTGAAAGCATGGTTGACTAAATGTTGAGATAGCAAGAACTGCAGTGCTGCCTGGCCTGCTGTCTTCCTCCAGCTCCATTTTGTTTTTGTACCTAATGTGTGTTTCAAACTACAGAGAGGAGCACGCATTTTATATATATATATGTTGCGAATTGCCCTCTCCATGGAATTACAGTCCTAGCAAACAGTCTAGTTACTCCAAGCTTCCACTGTTTTAGTTTCAGCAAAGAATAAATTCAAGTGATGTTTCCAAACCTTTCTTCAGTATCCAGAGAATTTCTTAAATCCTCCACTAGCCGGAAATCCTGTTCAGTCCTTCACTTCTAAATAATTTGAGAACATATCTCACAAAATCAGTTGTAGGCTGCAGGATGCATTTCTTTGCCTTGCTCCCTCATCGATTTATAGTAGTTCATAAAATTCAGCAACCTTTTCTCTCTGCTGACCCTGCACAATTTCTGCTGTTTGTCTGTGATACTCACTGATTTGTAGGGAGGTCTGTAACCTGATCTTGAAAATGTTTTCCTCTACCCTTGGCAACATGAAACACCATTAGCATTTCTGTTAGTATACAAGGTTAATTAACCAGCTCCATTTCCTTTTTAAAAGTAAATGAAAAGCTTAAAGCACAATACCAAAACACCTTTCTGGGAGTTTGGAATATGCAGGATCTACTCATTGCAAACCAAAGGCTACTGCTGTTGTCTTCAAGCATAACTGTTTTACTAAGAAGGTATTTTACTAAGAAGTTCCTCTAATAATCAAGCCACTGATGCTTAGTGTCAGGCAGACTGCAGAGGTCATAGTCACATTATTACACTTCAACTACCCTAAATCTACTGTTACAAGACGTAATAGTCTTATGGAGCTCAAAAATGTAACGGATCATTTTGCTTGCTGTTATTTACCTTACCGAATCACGTCACACCTCTGTGTTAAAACCCACCAGCCTATGTATGCCTTAATCAAAATTTATCACTATCTGCCTCATTTCAGAATACTTTCAAATTGTGTATCACCAGCAAATTTTGAAATTGTGCCTGTACACTGTACAGGGAGAAAACCATCTCTGCAGGCCAGGGGTCTGGAAACACAGGGTAGATGCAGTCTCTTATCCACTGGATTTCCTGTCAACAAAGCTGCATTTCTGGTAGTTACAAATTGATGGTAAATGTCCAAGTAGTCAGAAATACTGGTATTTGGAACATCTGTCACTTTCCTAGGGAACATCTATTGAGAAACAGGATTTCAAGAGATACGTTATCTATACTTCTCTATTTCCAACAAAAGGCAGTGGCTGTAGAACTTACTCATGAAGACACTGCTATAGGTCACCTCCCAGCCTATAAAACAATTTTCACCATTCTTTTTCAAATTACTCAATCAGCTTTGTATGCATGCTGCTGCTGTCCCTTTTATCCCATGGCTTCAACTTTCCTGGCAAGTGTTTTGTATGGCATTACTTCAAACGGCTTTTGAAAGTCCATTAAGACCACATCAACCATAGAATCTAAACAAGTTTTCCCCCACAGCTAATGCCACAAAAAATATATTAACTAGTTAATAACTTCATTGCTGTTTCTGAGATCTTGTTTTGTAAAAATGAGTGCATTCCACCACTCAACAATCACAGCACAGTATAATCCATTACATGTGACCTACTTTGCAATATTTCTGGGAGATATTACGACAGATGTTAGATGCATTTTAATATGAATAATTGAGAATTTGGCTTGAGAAAGATTTAAGAATGAAAATGTACTGTCCATAAAAAGACACTGCAAGTTGTAGATAATAGGAGCGATGAAAACTACGAATACTTAGCATTCTGAGGTCTGAGTGCAGGTAGATTTTTAAAAAGGTCAATAGTGTTTTAGATCTTATAAACAAATTGTAGAGTACAGTAACAAAGAGGGTAATGATGAATTTATAACAAGATGTTGGTTGTTGATGTCTTCATGCTCTATTTTTGAAGAACAGTTTGGAATAGTGGTAGGATTGGCATGCATTGGACCGCAACATGAAATAGTGTCCATAATATCTGTATTCCAGCCCAAATGTGGATAGGATGAGGATTGTTACTGTGGAGTGGGAGAGTTTTATGAGGTCCAAACAAGCCATACAGTATGGCTTAGGGTATGCTGGTTGTAAGTATTTGAGCCTGGAACCTAGAATTGAATTCTTGAGATTGGGAAGCTACAACTCCTCCAGACACTTGAATTCAAACCCTGGTTAATCCATGGTTAGTTTTACGTGCAGCTTCAGTGCCTCTATTAAGGAATGTATATTCAAATCATTGAGAGTGTATAGCATAGATTCAGCAGGATGATTTCACTGCAGCTTGGAAGACTAGGTAAGATTGCAAACACCACTTTAAATTTGAGGATTTTGGTAGAGCTGTTGCACATGGTCTAATCACCTGCAATGCTTTCTCTTCCTACTCCTAAACCACTTCCAAATCGTGTTTCCCAAGAACCTATCCTTGTTCCTCTCACATTTCTCATCTATATGCTGCCCTTCAGGTACATCATCTGAAAGCACAGAGATGTAGTTGACTTGTAAATGACCTATTAAGCCACTAAGTTATATTCAATAAGGTAGCTCATCACCATCTTCTGGAGGGCAGTTTGGAATGGACAACAAATGTTATCATAGCCAGAAATATCCTCATAACATGAAGGAATTTTTTTTTAAATTGTGATTATAAAAACAGCATAGATTAATAGGTTCAATAAAGTAGCTCCTCAAATTTTTAAAAGCTGTAAGAAAAGTCTGCGTGCAAAAGCTTAAAGTTTATTGAATGCAATTGTACTTCATTCAGTGATTAAGATAACTTTATTTTGCAGCTACATTGTTTTCAGCATCTTCCCGACGATTGCTGATATCATCATTGGCATTGTTTACTTCACCACGAACTTCAATGCCTGGTTTGGTCTCATTGTCTTTGTTTGTATGGCACTGTATCTAAGTAAGTGTCCTGATCAGTTAATAAATTCTTCTTTCAAACTATATAAATTGTTGTCTAAGTTAAATGTGACTGTATGGCTAACAATGCCTTTCCAAGCTAATGCCATCTGCTGCAGCTCAAAACCTACAGTTGTCAATCTGGCTCAGTAAGACAGGGCACCTGCTGTAAGAAATGTTAAGTATTAGATTAGCACAGGAAAATCTTCCCTTCCACATTTGGCATTGAAGCACCTTGGGCAAAAACAGATTCTTGTTCCTATGCGAGCCCAACATGTGTTGCACCCACCCTGGGATTGTTTGACTGGACAGTGTCGATGCTACAAGAAGATTGCTCTGCCACTTTTAAAAGTTTGTAGATGATAATACAGTTCTTGCCTCATTAAAGGTCAGGTAATGATGATTTGATTTGTGTCTGAATGTTTGTCGACAGCACAATGAAATCTCTTGGCTTTTAAAGTGGTCTCGTCTTGCATCAGTCAGTCAGTCCCCAGAGCGGGAAAAAAATGCTTTCTGCTGATAATTAAATCCTGTGTTCTTGGTAGAGAGTCTGTTCAGATGAAGCGCAAAGCGTAACCTCGAGGGCTTTTCCATGTAATCGAACATCACTCCCTTTGTTCGAAAGGTCGGCTGTTTGTCTTTAATGTCTGAGATGCAGGAAACATGAAAGGGAGCTATTTCACCTCTTCTATTGACAAAAGAGCTGAAAGTGGAGAATGTGTCTTGTTCCTGACAGTAGGTAATTGAGGAGGTTGTGCCCGGCCACGCTTTGCAGTGGTTGTAATGTCTGTTATCAAAGGACTAATTGTCAGAAGAAACATTGTGAAGGCAGTTAGCTGACACTTTCCTATGTCGTTGATCGTAGCAAATGAGAACTCAGTGAGTGCATTAATCAGTTTCTCTTTGCTGCAGGAACTTAGAAATTGCTAAACATGAAGAGTTGAAGATCTATTTCTGCCGCCTGGTTCTCACAATACAGAGTAAGAATGACTGTTGTTAGCAGTCAGCCAAAATCATGGAAAAGAAATGCTGTCTTATGTGAAACACTTGGTGAATTTCTAAAGGTGACGCAGGTAACGGGGATATGTAGATAGTTTAAATGGGTGTGCAAAACTTTAGCAGATGGAATATAATGCGAGAAAATGTGATGTTATGCACATTGGCAGGAAGAATAGAGAATAGAGGAGCTGACTATTATTTAAATGGAGAAAGATTGCAGAAAGTTCCAGCGCAAAGGAATTAGAGTCCTTGTGTACAAATCACAAAAAAAATCAAAGTTCAGCAGGTAATGTGAAAGGCAAAAGAACAGTTGACCTTTATTTCAAAGTGAATGGACTATAAAAATGGTGAACAGTTGCTAAACTAAACAAAGCATTAGTCAGACTGCACCCAGAATACTGTGAACAGTTTTGGTCCCATTATGCTAACATTGTGAACCTGCCCTGGACTGCCTCCAAAGTTGATCTTGGGTATGGAGGGACTATTGAGGAGAGGGTGAGTTTGTTGGGCTTGTACTCTGGTTGAGAAGAATGAGAAGCTTATTGAAACGTACAAAATTCTTAGGGGATTTGAGAGGGTAGATGTTTCCTCTTGTGGGAGAGTGTAGGATATGGACAGCTATATCATATGAACATCGTCACCTACAACTTCCCCTCCAAACCACTCACCATCTTGATTTGGAAATATATCGCCATTTCTTCAGTGTTACTAGGTGAAAATCCTGGAACTCCCTCCCTAATAGCACCTTGGGTGCATTTACAGCACATGGATGGAACAGTTCAAGAAGGCAGTTCATTACCACCTTTGACATCAATTAGGGACAGGCAATAAATGTTGGCCAGCCAGCAGCATCCACAACCTATGAGTGAATTAAAATAAACCTCAGCTTGAGATCAAATATGATCCTCCTAAAGTCAACAACACTTTTAACATGGTGAAAAGCCTCCAGTTGTTTGACGGCAGCATTATCAAATAGAATCTGGCACTGACCTGCATAAAGGAATATGATGTTTGATGACCAAAAGTGTAGTGGGATCTTTTAAGAAGCATCTGAAAGTAAGAGGAGTAGTGTGTCTCAGGAAGAGAATGTCAGAGCTGAAGGCCTGTCTACCTGGCAACACAGACTCTAATGATGGAACAATGGAAATCAGGGATGTGCAATATTGGAGGAGCTGTAATATCTTAGTGCGTTGTAGAATTGAAGAAGCTGTGATATATTGTTGGGTTGTAAGGTTGATGGAAATTAAAGACGGAGGAAAGGTCGTAAAGGGATTTAAAAACAAGAACGGGAATTTTAAAATTTCTTCTTGTTAAGCAACACCCATGTGGGTCTGTGAGCTTTTGGGTGTTGAGTGAACACTAATGAGTGCAATTTAGAGGCATGCAGCAGAGTTAAGGGTGATGTCCAAGGAGAACGTGGGGTTAGTGGCTAGGGAACTAATTTTGAGACAAATTTGACCAACCAAACCTCCATTTCTGCAACATTGCCTTCACCTATGCCTCAGCTTCCCTGCAGTCAGCTCTGTAGCGAGCTTTTGTTGCCTTTAGACATGACCACTCCGGAGCCACCATTATGTCCTGCATGAGCTTCAATTCATCCAAACCTCTGTTGTTAAATGTGAATACAAGACGTTCATCTGATTGCCTCTTGATAATTTACATTGCACCCAAAATTTAAAGTCTTGTGCTCAAGTTTTTTTCATTGGCTAAGATCTTTTTATATTCCTAGTTGAAAAAGGATGTACTGGCACTGGAGGGGGTGCAGAGGAGGTTCACTAAGTTGATTCTGGAGATGAGAGGGTTGGCTTATGAGGAAAGATTGAGTAGACTCGGACTATACTCACTGGAATTTAGAAGAATGACAATGGATCTTATAGAAACATATAAAATTATGAAGAGAATAGATAAGATGGAGGAGGGAGGTTGTTTCCACTGGCGGGTGAAACTAGAAACAGGGGAACATAGCCTCAAAGTAAGGGGGAGCAGATTTAGGACTGAGTTGAGGAGGAACTTCTTCAGCCAAAGGGTTATGAATCTGTGGAATTCCCTGCCCAGTGAAGCAGTTGAGGTTACTTTGTTTTTAAGGCAAAGATAGATTTTTGAATAGTACGGGAATTAAGGGTTATGGTGAGTGGTTAGGTAAGTGGAGCTGAGTCTATGAAAAGATCAGCCATGGTCTTATTGAATGGCAGAGTAGGCTTGATGATCCTGAAGGCCTACTCCTGCTCCTCCTTATGTCTACCATTGAAGTAATTTTTTTTTGTTTTTATTTCCCTCATGTTGTTTCCCATGTTGAAGGCTGACAGTACTGAGTAAAGAAATACTTTCCACTTCCAGTTCTTGGTTTTAGAATTAAACACTCCCTGAATGGGTACAAATATGTCATGTGCCTTAATCCTAATCTTAGCCGACTATGGCATTAATAGATTTTTTTTAAAAATGACCAAATGTGTATCCAATTAGGTTGTTAATTTAGCACTTTGAGTTTTAACATATTCTGGAGTGGTCACAGAGAAACCAGGACCAAAGGAAGGTGAGTGACTAATCTAAATATCCAAAGTTGCTACCTATACACAAAATAGAAATTAACTTATTGAATGGTCGTTACTTTTCTCATTATCTTGGACCTGATGCTGTTCCTTTACTTATGGTTGGATTGGATTAATCCTATTGTGCTTGGCTACTAGAACTCACTGTTGCTGAGATTTTTACCACCCTCCCCAGCCTCATAGGAACTGGTTTTATTTACCATGGTTTGATTCCTCTGGTTATTGCAACACCAGTTAATGGAGAAGGACCTCTGTAACATGGAAGGCAGCTTGAAATTACTTTTCCACAAGTATGGTTAACTGAAGTCAGTCAGCTGATCTTAGACATTCTACAGTGGGGACTGTGGTTCACAGTTACAGCATCCACTTTTTTTTTTCTTCCACCCAGAAGCGTTGTCACACACAACTGAGTGCTTTCTCACCATCAGAATCACTGTGACTTTATTTCTTGTTTTTTTAAACTAGTAACCACCACCCGTATAAACACCTTTGTGTCCAATTGAGTATTACACCATCTAGAATCATAGAGTCATACAGCATGAAAACAGGCCCTTTGGCCCAACCCATCTATGCTGATCAGGTTTCCTAAACTGAACGAGTCCCATTTGCCTGTTTTTGGCCCATATCCCTCTAAACCTTTCCTATCCATCTACCTTTCAAAATCTGCTTTGATTAAGTGTGGTATTTGCTTCAGCTGCTTTGCCTGAAGACCAATTAAGGAATTAATTTGTTTTTGCTTAATCTCCCCTTTTCTCCTTGTCTGATTTAACTTGAAATACTGCTCCAGGTCAACCTCTTACAGAGCTTAGCAATATCTCCCCTATTTGCCTTTCTTCTATAGTAAGATGCAACTTTTTATCAGTATTTCCTCATGACTTACATAAGATGTATTGCACAGAAATGGGCCATTCTACTGAACCATGCTGGCATTTATGCTCCACTTGATCCTCCTCCCATCTTTCCTCCTCTTGATCTACTGTTTTAACCCGCTATTCCCTTCACTTCATATGCTTGCGTAACTTGCCCTGAAGCTTTGCTTCAAACACTCCCTGCGGTTGTGAATTCCAGATATATAGCGCTTTCTGAATGAAGAAGTTCCTGCCGAATTCCCAATTGGATTTCTTGGTGACTATCTTATGTTGATGGCCTCTACTTAGCTCTTCCTACAAAAGGAAGCATTGTCTCTGTGCGCTCTCGGTCAAAACCTGTCATAATTTCAAATCCCTTTATTAGGTCACCATTTAGCCTTCTATTTCCAAGACTGAAGAGAATCAACAAAAAAACTGTAGATGCTGGAAATCAGATATAAAAGAAAAAATTGCTGAGAAAACTCAGCAAGTCTGGCAGCATCTGTGCAGAGAAAGCAGAGTTCATGTTTCAGGTCCTCGTCAGGACTGATTTTAGCTAGGAAAAGCCTGGTGTGTATATATACTGAAGATGGGGAGGGGGTGGAATCCACCTGTCATTTACTCTGGGGCCTAAATCTGGAGAAAAACATCTCGGTCACCAAACCAGTGTAATCACAGGACAGATGGAGTTTAATCCAGACAAATGCAAGGTGATGTATTTTGGAGGATCAAATTTAGGTGTGAATTATACTGTAAATGGCAGAACCCTTAGGAAAATTAAAATACAGGCGGATCTGAGTGTGCAGGTCCACAGTTCCCTAAAAGTGGCAACACAGATAACCAAAGTGATTCAGAAGGCGTATGGCATACTTGCCTTCATTGGCCGGGGCACGGAGTTACAAAGAGTTGGCAAACCATGTTGCAGCTATATAAAACCCTTGTTGGACCGCATTTGGAGTATTGTGTACAGTTTTGGTCACCACACTACCAGAAGGATGTGGAAGCTTTGGAGAAAGTATAGAGAAGGTTCACGGGGATGTTGCTAAGTCTTGAGGGCATTGACGATGGGGAAAGGTTAAAATAACTAGGATTGTTTTCACTGAAATAAGGTGGCAGCTGAGAGGAGACCTGATAGAAGTCCACAGAATTATGAGAGGCATAGATAAGGTGGATAGTCAGGCTTTTTCCTAGGGTTGAAATTTCAATTACAAGGGTGCACAGGTTAAAGGTGAGAGGGCAAAAGTTTAAGGGAGACGTGCAAGGAAAATTTTTCACACAGAGTGGTAGGAGCCTGGAATGCACTGCCAGAAGCAGGCATGTTGGCGACATTTAAGATACATGAATAGGGAGGGCATAGAGGGGTATGGACCAAATAAGGGCAGCAGGTTTGTTTTTCAGTTTAGTCAGGGCATGATGATCGGGACAAGCTTGGAGGGCCGAAGGGCCTGTTCCTGTGCTGTACTTCTCTTTTGTTCTTTTGACTGTGGGCTTCGTATTCACAGTGAGAGGCCTACACCAGGAGTTTATGAAGCCTCCTCTCTACCCCACTAGCTCTATTGGACCTCACT